ACCCAGCCTAGCAAGCACAGACTCAGCTGAATCACCTAGCTGCTCTCCATAAAGTTGGAAACAGTTGCCCCTCCCTTCTCTCGGGAAAGAACAATGGGGCTAAGGAACCCCAAACACGAGCTTAACACCCAGCGGACGCATCTGAACGAAGGAAATTTCCATCTCAACACTGACTCAGCCCCCACTTCCCGCTCCTGAGGCGAGTTTGTGCCCTACTCAGACTTTGGGACAAAGGAGTTGCAGGGTCTCCAGAGAGGAGTTGGATGACTCCTTGGTGCCCCCTAGTGGTGGAAGTGCGTAGATTAGGAGGGCCTGGCTATGGTCACTAGCCAGTAGGGATTTATAAAATAAACCAAAAAAAAAAAAAAAAAAAAAAAAAAAAAAAAGGAGAAAAGATACCAGGGTCTTACAAGGCCTAGCATCCTACATAACTGGACACCCCACCCAATCGGGGCAAAAATGCCCTTCCCTGAGTCTATGACATGTTCAGAGTGTCCATTTTTTATTTTATTTTTTTTTTTTTCGAGACAAGGTTTCTCTGTGCAGCTCTAGCTATCCTGGAACTCGCTCTGTAGAACAAGCTGGCCTCAAACTTCAGAGATCCGCCTGCCTCTGACTCCTGAGTGCCGGGATGGGATTAAAGGTGTGCACCACCACCGCCTGGCTATCCACTTCTCTTTTTATAGAGACAGGATCACTTCTTATTCCAGGCTGGTCTTATATTCAAAGCTAGCTTTAAATTCCTTATGTAGGATGCCCTTGAATTTTTGATTCCACCTCTGGGGTGGTGGGATGAAAGGGTACACCACCAGTCTGGGGATGGAATACAGGGCCTCCCTTATGTTAGGCAAGCACTCTACCAGCTGAGCTTTGTGCCTAGCCCAATGATAGTCCACTTCCAAGCAAGAAATGTACCTGTCCTCCAACGGGTGGCATGAGAGTTTAGCACAAGGTGAGACAGTCTGCTAAGAGGCAGGCAGGAGGTTCAGAGGTTAAGAGCACTGACTGCTCTTCCAGAGGTCCTGAGTTCAATTCCCAGCAACCACATGGTGGCTCACCTGTAATGAGATCTGGTGCCCTCTTCTGGCCAGCAAGCATACAGATAGACAGAACACTGTATACATAATAAATAAATAAATAAATAAATCTTAAAAAAAAAAAAAAAAAAGAGGTGGGCAGGAGATGTGCTTGCCACAGACCCTGCCATTTCTCAACCCTGGCAGGATGGGAACCCTACTTCTGGCTGCTTGCTCCCTTGCCTCAGTGATCCCTAGAATCTGCATCTGAAGTAAATAGCAAAGTATGTACCTTTAATCCCAGCACTCAGGAGACAGAGGCAGGCAGATCTCTGTGAGTTCAAGGCCAGCCTGGTCTAGAAGAGTTCCAACCCAGGGGGCTGGAGAGATGGCTCAGAGGTTAAGAGCATTGCCTGCTCTTCCAAAGGTCCTGAGTTCAATTCCCAGCAACCACATGGTGGCTCACAACCATTTGTAATGGGGTCTGGTGCCCTCTTCTGGCCTGCAGGCATACACACAGACAGAATATTGCATACATAATAAATACATAAGTATTAAAAAAAAAAAAAGAGTTCCAACACAGGCTCCAAAGCTACAGAGAAAACCCGTCTCAAAGAACAAACAAACAAAATGTGGAACCAGGTAGTGGCACACACTTTTAATCCCAGCACTTGGGAGGCAGAGGCAGGTGGGTCTCTGTGAGTTTAAAGTCAGCCTCAACTACAGATTTCTTTCCTGGACAGCCAAGGCTACACAGAAAAACCCTGTCTTAGAAACCAAGGGGGGGAAACAAAAAAAAGAAGTGGACTGTTGGGCTCCACTTTGTTTACGATCTAACAAATAAAGTTTACCTGCAGATCAGAGAAGCAGAGCAGCCAGTCTCTAGAGTTCTTACTTCTCCCAATGTTCAAACCAAACAGGCAAAGTCCTGTCTCTACAAATCCTCAGACTAAATGCCCTGAGCTCCCCTCTCCTCCTGCCTTATATTCCTCTCTCTGCCAAGCCATATTCCTTTCTGTCTCTACCTCCCTAGTGCTGGGATTAAAGGCATGTACTGGAATTAAAGGTGTGAGCCACCACCACCTGGCTCTGGTTCTCTTTTAGACTGGATTGATCTCGTGTAGCCCAGAGTGACTTTGAATTCACAGAAATCCATCTGCCTCTGCCTCCCGAGGCAGTGCTCCCACCACTGCCTGGCTTCTGTGGCTAACTAGTGGCTAGCTCCACACTCTGATCTTCAGACAAGCTTTGTTTGTTAGAGCACAAACAAATATCACCACGAGGAATGATGCCCCTTGAACTTCTCTCTTAATAATTTTCTCTTTCTCATTCACCTGGCATTGTCCAGCTCTCCCATTGGAGAGTGGGACTGGGAAATTCCATTATTAGGATGGAAACCAAGGTAGGAGAGGTGTCCCCTAGCAGCAGCAGAATCCTTGAGCAGGTGCAGGCTCCTTTCACAGCAGCCTTTTGCATTCCTCTATCCTTTTACTTTTCCATCCTCCTGCCGTTGCCTGCCCCACTCCACGTTCTACAGCCTTGTGCTGCAGAGAGGCAGGTGCTCCACCATTAGCCTGCGAGGCTTTCTGAAGAAGGAAACAGTCCCATAGCTAAGAACAGCCCAGTGCACTTGCTCAGACCCAGAAAAGGATCGTTCTGCCTGGAAAGCTTAAATCCTGGGACATGGCTCTTGAGCCCAGTCCTCCCTTTGCAGGGCCCCCATTTGCTCTGCTTCCAGTCTTGGCTCAAATGTCCCCTCCTGAGTCCCTTTCTGTGACCGTCCATAATGCCTGTTCTTGGGTGTCAACTTGACTACATCAGGAATTAACTAAAACGCAAGCATCTGGGTACACCTGTGAGGAATTTTTTTTCTTTAATCATTTGAATCAGGAAGACTCATCTCTAATCCAGATCTTTTGAGATGGGAAGATCCACCTTTAATCTGCCAGACCTCCTGCTGGCAGCCTATAGAAAGGACACGGAAGAAGGAAGCGTCTTGTCTGCCTCTGGCAAAGCCATCCCTTCGCTGGCATTAGAGACTACTTCTCCGGGATTCTGGCATATACTGAAGACCAGCTGAGACATCCAGTCTCATACACTGAACAACCATTGGGTGACTGGACCTTCCATTGGTAGACAGCCATTGTTGGATGAGACTATAAGCCATTCTAATAATTCCTTTACGTGTGTGTGTGTGTGTGTGTGTGTGTGTGTGTGTGTGTATTCATTCTCTAAATTCTGTTTCTCTAGAGAACCCTGACTAGTATGCCATCTTGTTAGTGAACTCTTTTATTGTATTTTACTTTTTTCTGATTGTGAAGCGTTGTCAGTTTCTGGGATTGTTTTCCAGGTTTCCCCATTGTAATAGAGCTCCCTCAGCACCCTGAGGTGGGCTGTGTCAGCTCTGTGTGCTGTGGGATCTGCAGAGCCCAGCACCTAACCCATTGGGGGTGATTGATCAATATTCATGGAAAAAAAAGATTATACAAGATGGACAGGTAGTTCCTCTTACCACATACAGTGAGATGAACACTGAGACTATGTTTGCCTTTGTTTGGTTTTCTTGCTCCCCTTCTTTTCCCCCCATTCTAAACCAGTCCTCACATTGGATTATTTGTTTAAAATCCTGAAGCTAGCCGGGCGATGGCGGCCCACGCCTTTAATCCCAGCACTCGGGAGGCAGGGGCAGACGGATCTCTGTGAGTTCGAGACCAGCCTGGTCTACAGAGCTAGTTCCAGGACAGGCTCCAAAGCCACAGAGAAACCCTGTCTCGAAAAAAAAAAATCCTGAAGCTAGGGACTGGAGAGATGGTTGAGAGGTTAAGAGCACTGGCTACTCTTCCAGAGGTTCTGAGTTCAATTCCCAGCAACCACATGGTGGCTCACAACCATCTGTAATGAGATCTGGCCTACAGACATACAAAATATATTTCATTTCTTTAAAAAGAAATAAATAAAAATAAAATCCTGAACCTGCCTAAGGAATCTTGATTGAATTCACTTTCTAGATCCCGTCCCTTGAGATGATGCCGTGGGAAAAAGACAGAAAGGTGGGTCCTTGAGATTGGGGAGAGAGTCCCCTGGGAGCGCCCAGGAAGGTGACAGGATCACCGGGGTGTGAGGCACCTAGATAGGCTGCCTCTCTTCACTCCGAAGACGTCATTGTTGCTTGTGGATGCTGGCCATTGCAGGTGTCAGTAGCCATGACGAAGCCCTGGTTGATGTGGCCAAATATGTGTCATCCTCAGTGTGGAGAGTCTTGACTCCTGACTGAGGTGAGGTTTCACTATACCCCTCAGGGATACTCATTCCAGGAGAGATTAAATTAGATGCCCCCCCACCCTATTAAAGAACTGCTAGGTTTATTGTAAACCTCCTCAGGAGCAGGAATATGAGCAGCCCTTCAGGGAACAAGCCGGCCTTTGTTGTCCAGGCCTTCCGGGAGCATCTTCACAAGGAAATTGCTAAGGAGAGGATTTTCAGGCACCCAGATGGTCTCAGGGAGAGACATCTTTAAGCAGATGTCTTCTGGGAAGTAAGCAAACATCTCTTCAAGGGCTAGAGAGAGAACTCAGAGGTTAAGAGCATTGCCTGCTCTTCCAAAGGTCCTGAGTTCAATTCCCAGCAACCACATGGTGGTTCACAACCATCTGTAATGAGGTCTGATGCCCTCTTCTGGCCTGCAGACATACACACAGACAGAATATTGTATGCATAATAAATAAATAAGATATTTTAAATTTATTTTAAATATATATTTAAAATAAATATTTAACAAAATATTTATTTTACTAAATAAAATTT